AAGCCTGCCGCGTCGCCGGTCCCCTGAGACCCTAACTTGTGACGTCGCGACCGATATCTCACAGGCTAGATTCTCTGGTATTGGCGATGAGTGCTGCCTTTTGCCGATCAAAAGTCAGTCCTAGTCATCAGAGATAGAAAACGGCCGGAAACGTCGACGCCCTATAAAAGCGAGGAGAGACTCGACATTCGAAGGTCTATGCCGCTACTGTATGATGCATCTTGAAAAATCGTAGTTTCTCAGTGAATATATAATAGCTCTGTGTGTACTATAAACATGCCGATACACTTATCGTTAACAATTATATATTCACGTCAGGAAATCATTAAACTGCATACTTCCCATATGTATGACATTTTAGTTTCTTAATTTTCTGTGGATGCATTTCAGTTTCTACGTCTTAAGTTTCACGAATGAATGAACTACGCACCAGCAAAGATCGTTAGAAAAAATTATAAGAAAATAATATACTGATTGGTGCATAGTTTGTATTTATTATTTAAGTAACAATGTACATTAAAAAAATAAACAATGATTTTTATATTAATCTGTATATTTGGAATATATATGTGTCCGATTGTCTGAATAACAATTAATATCTTTTCTTTTGTTATATATTCAATATTGTATATTTTCCGTCGAGTATGTACAATGATTGGTGCAAAATATTTTGGAAGTACAATGATAAAAGTCGTTGTGACGATAGAAAAATGGTGTTCCATCAGAAATATCTTCTACCTTCTTCCACTAATCGACTAAGCTCTGCGGCCGAATAACCCAGAACTTGCTTCAAGTCGCATACAAATTTGTACACGAATCGTTTCCCGTGGACCTTAGAAATCATATCTCCGTCGTAATAGTAGCGCAAGGCACGACTCAATTTTTCGTAATTCATCGACGGTTTGTTTTTACGTGCTCCCCATAACTGTGCCACTGCTTCTGGCTGATTCAATTTGAATTCTCCCTCAGTTCCTACCCATTGTATAGCGCCTCTGTGTTCTCGGTCAGTTAATAGTTCCAACAAAAATTGCCACAGTTGTATCTGACCGCTGTTAACCGAACGACTAGACGTTGCTATCGTGATCGGTGTAGAATCAATGTTCTCGAATGGAACACTGACTACTCGAGCCTGTTGATTTACTACCGGTCGAGATTTTGGGGTCTTCTGATTTCTAACTTTGATAGTTTTGTCCACACAATTTTCTGTAGGCGATGCTGGAGCATCTTTTTGTACAACAGCTAAGATAACAGTATTAAATTAACGTCAGCATCCGAGGGTTTAACAGTAAGTCGTGTTTAATGTACGTACCGACAAATTTACACTTGCGGAGTAGTTCTAAATGAGTCCAAAATACTTCTCCAGGATCAAGAGGCACTTTTGCCTGGAATTCTTCAAGCGTAAGATTGCATAATTGTTGACCAGTAATGTTCCAATCAGCTAATCTTACAGATGCTAAATTGAACTGTCTTACTGCCCACTGAAGCCAATGCTTCACATGTGTCTGTGTCCATTCTTTAGGATCGGCTGGAATTTTTAACCGTTCCTGTATAATATATGCATGTATAAAATTTGAGTACATATTAACTGCGAGTTTCATATGACATTTAACTTATACCTGTTCTTTTTTATACTGTGGATCAACCATCCACCTTATTATGTTTCGTTTACTGTCTTCATTAATTGGAACAGGTGCTGAATAGTAAAAACAATAAGATAAAATTAAGAGAATAAACAAGTACTTATAATAACTGCTGTCATTGATGTTAATACATACTACTATTTTCTGCTAACTCTATGTAATCTTCAGCAGGCTTTAAAACGTCTACTATATTGATACGTCTTTGAGTTGCTTTTATTTGAACATTTACTTGAACTAATCCTTCTCCTTGAACACATTGGTCGACTAAATTTTTGTGACTCTCTAGCTGAAGAAATATTTACAGATTAAAGAACATTAATTACAAATTTTAGAACTTATTATTCAATTGTAACATACCATTTGTGCATCTTGTAGCCAAAATGAATAATCTGTTAGTTCAACTCCTAATCTTTGTTCTAATAAATTTCTTAAGGTAGATAGAGGTTCTCTAATATCCATGTGTTGCATCAATACACCTTCATTGCAATCCTCTCCATTCACTGTACCTTCCAATGCAAAGCTTGGTTCTACTTCCAAATCAGAACTTTCTTGTTGCAATTGTGCCATTATATCATCTTCCTGTGATAGTATAGCTTCTGGCTCCATTTTAATACGTTTTATTATCGCATAATCAGAGTCATCATCCGTGTCAAAACTGTGCAAAATAAATGTACAACTCCTTTAGGATAATTGACACTATAAATCAGTAGTAAGTGCACAAACAATTTTCAGCTTTAAAAGCATTTATTGTTAATAGAATTACAGTACTTTTGAATGTTTAGAATCTCTTTGTATACAAAATATCTCGCTTGTTGTAACTAACTTATGCCTCGGATTAGGATGGAAATGTTATAGACACCGACCTTTTGTCACAACTTTTTCGTCCATTCCCAAGATCCATGAGTACTAATTGAAGCTGTCAAAGCTTACTAAATAGACTCAGTGAACTTTAACCTACTTTAACCTTTACAAAATAATGAACGCTGGTTTCCAAAACCTGGCAGACATTTTGTATTGTCCATGGATATAAAGGATATATGGAGGGAACTCACAGTTGCGTTCACAGTTATAACAGGGGGAAGCACCGGATTAGCTTTGTGATAAAATAGTTGATTGGCGTACTAGTTCAGCTAACCAGAACCAAACAATTTGAAAACCTCTTTAAAATTCGCCTTAATACATTACAAATAAGCTTTTAAAGTCTACGAGGATATGGTTTTTCGGTAATTATTCCTCCGTGGCATGCGCGGGCGGCGCGTTGTAGGAATATACACGACAATGAGTATGCAAAGTCGTTAATTACTCACTTTCTGAGCACAGTTTATGAACTTTTATGATTAAAAAATGGTCAGCAATGCATTATTTACATGGTTCGATCATGAAAGTTCATAAATAATGTTCGGGTAATGAGTAATTAATTATTTTTTGTCAGCATTGCGATACGTACATGAGCCGCCTATGTCAATTCTACTGCACATGCAAAGTGCAATATTTCGGCACTTTGACGACGTAGTATGGTTCCTGAGGCATTTAGAAACAAATTTCTATTAGGGTTTGATGCGTTTTGATGCCTAATAAAGCCAGAAAATCAATTTTTGTCGAATTCGGTCCAAAACGGTACA